GTGTTCCAGGCTAAGGACCTTCTGCACCTACTCCAGGGCCACATCAGCGTGTTCCAGATTTTAGGACCCTTTGGTGCTCCAGGAGAGTGGATGAAGTCGCCACCACCGGACTGCTCACTCAACCACTGAAAACTTAATTATCACTTACCCAAACCTCTTCTAGAGACCTTGGCATTGTTGTATATTATCAGTATATGATTGCCTAATTTACATTAGATATTATATAGCTGATTGCAGTTGATAAATAATCTTTCACGTATTTGTTTGATGCATAATAAGGTTCTTCACCTTATTTGTTTCAGAGTAGCAACAGTTTATCTTTCCAGATAACATAGCTCTGACATAGCAACACCCAACATAATCACTTGCATTTTATACATCTTATGCACTTTATTCCTTTTTTATTCATGGTTCTTATTTATTTAGTAGTTGTCGATTACTCTTGTCCATCTTTTGTTAATGTATTTTATTACACTTGTGTCTTCCTTGTGTTGACGATACAGTAAGAGGTTCTACAAGTTAGAGATCCCACCAATCTTTCTTATGTGATGTACTCATAACCACACCTTAAGTGACACGTGATCCAAAAATCATAACATCATTGGTGACATGAGTACCCATCACCCATCACTATTTCGCCTCCCTAGGTTGGCGAAAGCAAATTCACTACACTCTGCAGAAAACATTTTACACCGGATAGTTTTACAAACTTGAGAGCAGAGAATACTGCTTATTTTTTCAAGATTTGTATAACTTATTTTATTTACTTGGCATTTTTTTAACATTCAAATTTGGCTAGGTGCTTAATAACACATTTTTCTGTGCTGTGACAAACTCAGAACACATATTTATTTAATATTGCTTTACACAGACTTTAACTTTTTAAACATCGACTTTACATGACGAGTCTGTAAAAAAAACACCCATTAAGGCTCCATTCACATGCTACATTATTTGTTCTTCAGACATTACTCATCTGTATACAACGTGATCCCCATTTGGTTTTTGACCACTGAAAATGTGTACAATTTAACAATTTACTGCTGGAGCAATATATTAACAAAAATTTGAGTCGGAGACTTCTGGTTGAGTTGACACGGAATGACCCAACTATACTGCTCAAAAAATTAAGGTAACACTTAATCATCAAAGTATACCATCAAGTCAGTTAAACTTTAGGGACATCAATCTGTCCGGTTAAGAAGCATAAGTGCTTGCGAATAAGTTTTACCTGCTTTGGTGCAAATGAAAGTAACAACAGGTACACTGGAGAGGAAACAGCAAGACAACCACCCAAAAAAGAATGGTTTTGCAGGAGGTGGTCACAAACAATTGCTCTCTACTTATCCTTCCTGACAGATCTTTCTCTAGTTTTGCATTTTGTTAGGGTCCTTCTCACTACTTCTCATTACTACTACAATGTGGCAGTCCCTGCAACCCAATCAGGTTGCACAGGTAGTCCAGCTCCTCCAGGATGGCAATTCAATACGTGCCACCGGAAGGTGTGGTGTGTCTCCTAGCACAATCTCAATAGCACGGAGGAGATACCGGGAGATGGGCTGTTACACAAGGAAAGTTGGACAGGACTATAGAAGGGCAATAACGTGTGGATACCAGGCTGACATTCATCTCAACAACACAACCTTGTTTCTGCATTGACTTTCAGCATGTTTCCTACATCTGATAGGCTTACATTTTACGTGGTGTGAGAAAAAGGAAACAAGGCAGAAAAGCTAGAGGTCGACCGATTAATTTTACTGATGCCGATAGTTAGGTTGGACTGCACTGGCCAATGCCGATTAATCAACTGATAGTTTTTAAACTGAACGAAAACAAAAATAGTGCTTTACTATTAAAAAAAAAAACAGTACTGACCCATACTTTGTAAATGAATACAAATTTAAATATTATTATATTGATCATTAAAGTTAGTTCATCGTTTAATGACTATTGTTAGCAGAAGAAACTTTAAAATTTAAAAATGTATTAGTAATAGTAAATGTTGAAATGAATACACTCTAACAGGGAACAATACTTCTACAGCTTTCATTAATCTTAATGTTACAAATGGGCTCTTATTGTAAAGTGTTACTATTTCATTTCAAAAGTCATGCTTAAAGATGGGCATCTTTATATCTACACAAAGGCAAAAGCACTAAAATTAAATACGGATATTGTATGTATACTTGGTCTGTGAACTTTTGCATGCATTCATTATTCGTTTTTTTAACCATGACGAAAAAAAAATTATTATTGTATTTTTAAAGGGTTAGTTCACCCAAAAATGAAAATTCTGTCATTAATTACCCACCCTTATGTCGTTCCAAACCCCTAAAGACCTTCGTTCATCTTCGGAACACAAATTAAGATATTTTTGATTAAATCCAAGAGCTCTCAGATTCTCCATAGACAGCAACACAACTGCAATGTTCCCAGGTCCAGAAACATAGCAAGAACATTGGTAAAATAGTCAGAAGATGAACGAAGGTCTTACGGGTGAAAGGAGTGAAATTATTTCCTTATAAAATAAATTCTTTGTGAAGCCAAACACTCTCGCAATGCAAATGCCATGCCACAAAACACTGGGCTTTGATCTCCTCGTAAAGCCAAACACTCAGAAACAATGGGCTTTGATCAAGATAGGAAGATCTGGAAGAAAGACCATCTGCTCTTCAGTCCCTTCACCCATCCTTCCCCCCTGGGCACATGGTCCAGGTCACTAAAAGTTGACAGAGAAATGCCAAGAACTCAAGTTGCTAT